CATCACCTCATCTTGCAGATAATGATGAGCAGCAGCAGTAGCAACAAGCTAGGAGGAGTCGCAAAAGAGGAGGAAGAAGATTAAAAATAAAAAAAAAGAAGATTATTTTTTGGCCAAATTTCAGAGATCTTACGGCATGTAAAAAGAGGTGAAACAAGGCATATGAGGGGTGGAATGAAAACTTGGCTATGAGGTAAATCTAACGACGCAAAAATGAGGCGAAACGGAATTACGACGAGGGAGATACATATGTTTGAACATGTGGGTTTGAATATGAAAATTTTGCCCAAAAAAAGAAAAAAAATTTTTTGGCCAACTTTCGGAACTCCGACAGCAAGTAAAAAGATATGGAATAAGGCATATGAAGAGTGAAATGAAAATTAAGCCATGAGGTAAATCCAACGATAAAAAATGAGGTGAAACAGAGTTATGATGAGGGAGATACAAGTGTTTGAACATGTGGGTTTGAATTTGAAATTCTGTCCAAATTTCCGTTAGTTTAATATGACGGAGTTGCCAGATTAAAACAGGAATGAAACTCTAAAGTTTAATTTGTCGAAATTAAATTATAAGGTTTAAATTAAAAAACATGCAAAATCTTGAGATTTTTTTTTTTGTAATTAACCCAAAAGAAAACCTCTTCCAATTTCCAAACAACTCCTAAGAATTAAATTTCATTATGTATGTACGTCAAGCAACAAATGATATGCGAGACCTTTCCAATTAGAACAAATATTAGTATCTGAACCCATGCGACACACGAACCAAATAAATAATTAAAAATAATTTCAAAATTAAATAACATAAAGTTTATTTAAAAAATATAGAAAAATAATTTAGAATAAATTAAACTTTAATAATTTTATTAGAATATATGTAATGTAATTGTTAGGTCATTAATTGTATATACAATAAGAAATAGATGTCATAATTTAATTGATAAAAAAAAAGGATAAATTAAAAAAATTATATTTATGATAAAATAAAAATAAATTTCATTTTATAAATTTTTTAATTTTAGTTTATTCTATTCTATGTTAAAATTTGTCATAAAACTTAAATATAACTTTTAAAAATAAAACAATATATATATTTTTTAAGAAAATCGGTCAGAAAACCAACCAACTTATACAATAATTAATTAATTAAAACTTTTAAATCTTTTTTTATTTTAAAATTTAAACTGTTTTCAATTGAAACATATACACAACACTACAATATTAAAGAGAGATTTGGTCAAAACCGCTTCATAATAAAACTTTAATGCATTAAGGATAACAATTTTTTCTTAAAAAGTCCAATACATACCATTATTACCAAAATATTAAATTTTAAAATAATATAATTTTTGATCTAGATGTCGGTTTTTAATAAAATTAGTATTTTTAGAATTCTCTTATTAAAATCTATGAAATAAAATCTATATTAATTATGAAATTCTTTATAAAAGATTATTACCGTTGAAATTGATCTAAATAGTCACATGTTATTCTGTTTGACAGCAACATGTTACTCTGGCAATATTGTCTAAAAAAAAAAAGAAGATATTTTACCATGTTATTCTAACAATATTGTCCAAGAAAAAAAGAGAGGATATTTGATATTTTACTTTATCCTTACTCAATTATGCTCCTCCTCCTAAAGGAGTTTATATAAAACAAAATAAATTTGGCTATATCCTTTTTTACCAAACAATGGTTCAATTGAGGGTTTTGGCTAAATTTTCCCAATAGAACATAAGTGTACTTTATATAAGTGAAACAACTTACTTTTTCTTTTTTTTTTCCTGATGTGGGATAGTGTAAAATAAAAATTAACAATTGTTCAGGCTAAAAGTTTATTTTGAATCAAACAATATCAGTCATTTAATCTTTAATTAGGTAAATCTTTAGTTTTTTTCGAATCAAACAAATCTAACCAATATATTTTGATAAAACCTCTAAATCGCGATTAAATCAAATCTAATCAGTCAAATCAAAAACGGTTCAGCCTAATCGGTTAAATCAAAAGACCAAACCAACTTATACAATAATTAATTGATTAATTAAAAATTTTAAATGTTATTTTAATTTTAAAATTTAAACTGTCTTCAATTGAAGCATGCACAACATTACAGTATTAAATAGGAGCATAAGATTTACTTTGTATAAATGAAACAACTCATTTTTTTCTTCTTTTTCTAATGTGGGGTTATAAAATAAAAGTTAATAATTGTTTAGGCGGAAAATTTATTTCTAATCAAGCAATTTTAATCATTTAATCTTTAATCAAATCAATCTTTAGTTTATTTCGAATTAAACAAATCTAACTAATATATTTTAATAAAATCACGGTTAAACCAACAAATCAACCTAATCGACTAGGTCAAAAGACCAATTAACTTACACAAAAATTAAATAATTAAAACTTTCAAATTTTATTTTAAAATCTAAACTGTACTAAAACATGCACGATACTACAATATTTTATGAGAGTATAAGATTCACTTTATATAAGTGAAACAACTTACTTTTTTCCTTCTTTTCCTGATGTGGATTATAAAATAAATCACAGATTAATTAAAGTTTTTTTTTTTTTAAAAAAATTTAAGCTGTCTTGAACTGACCTATGCACAAGACAATAATATTAAATAGAAATATAAAATTCACTATATATATGCGAAACAACTCACTTTTTCCTTCTTCTTCCCCGATATGAGATTATAAAATAAATCATATTTTATATGATTAAATATAAACTAGCCAATGGAGTTTTTTTAATTATTTAAAATTAAGAAAATTAGTATGAGAAATTGTGGTTAAACCGGCGAATCAGTCAAACCAAAAACGATTTAGCCTAATCAGTTAGGCCAAAAGACCAACCAACTTATACAAAATTTAATTAATTAAAAAATTTAAATGTTATTTTAATTTTAAAATTTAAACTGTCTTCAATTGAAGCATGCACAACATTACAGTATTAAATAGGAGCATAAGATTTACTTTGTATAAATGAAACAACTCATTTTTTTCTTCTTTTTCTAATGTGGGGTTATAAAATAAAAGTTAATAATTGTTTAGGCGGAAAATTTATTTCTAATCAAGCAATTTTAATCATTTAATCTTTAATCAAATCAATATTTAGTTTATTTCGAATTAAACAAATCTAACTAATATATTTTAATAAAATCACGGTTAAACCAACAAATCAACCTAATCGACTAGGTCAAAAGACCAATTAACTTACACAAAAATTAAATAATTAAAACTTTCAAATTTTATTTTAAAATCTAAACTGTACTAAAACATCCACGATACTACAATATTTTATGGGAGTATAAGATTCACTTTATATAAGTGAAACAACTTATTTTTTCCTTCTTTTCCTGATGTGGATTATAAAATAAATCACAGATTAATTAAAGTTTTTTTTTTTTTAAAAAAATTTAAGCTGTCTTGAACTGACCTATGCACAAGACAATAATATTAAATAGAAATATAAAATTCACTATATATATGCGAAACAACTCACTTTTTCCTTCTTCTTCCCCGATATGAGATTATAAAATAAATCATATTTTATATGATTAAATATAAACTAGCCAATGGAGTTTTTTTAATTATTTAAAATTAAGAAAATTAGTATGAGAAATTGTGGTTAAACCGGCGAATCAGTCAAACCAAAAACGATTTAGCCTAATCAGTTAGGCCAAAAGACCAACCAACTTATACAAAATTTAATTAATTAAAAAATTTAAATGTTATTTTAATTTTAAAATTTAAATTATCTTGAATTGAAGTATGCACAACACTATAATATTAAATGGGAGCATAAAGTTCACTTTATATAAGTAAAACAACTCACTTTTCCCTTCTTTTTCTAATGTGCAATTATAAAATAAAAGTTGACAATTATTTGAGTATGAAGTTTATTTCTAATCAAGCAATCTTAATTCAATTTCTAATTAAATCAATCTTTAATTTATTTCGAATCAAACAAATATAACCAATATATTTTGATAAAATCGTTAAAATCGCGATTAAACCAACGAATTAGTCAAACAAAAAATGATTCAACCTAATCAGCTAAATCAAAAGACTACTAACTTACACAAAAATTAATTAATTAAAATTTTTAAATTTTATTTTAAAATTTAAACTATATTGAATTAAAATATGTATAAATCATAAACTAATTAGAATTTTTTTATATGGTTAAATAGAATTTAACCAATGAAGATTTTTTTAATTATTTAAAATTAAGAAAACTAATATAAGATATTGAAACTCTCATAAGACTTCTCACTAAAAATCACATTTTGTTTATATAATATAGGGATAGATATGGTATTCCAATATTAAATAAAACTGTACACAAGGCCTTACCCTCTCCCCCCACAGACCTTCACTTTCAATTTTTTTTCAAGAATTTGCCAGATCAAAAATGATTCAGCCTAACCGGCTAAGTCAGAAGACCAACAAATTTACATAAAAATTAATTAATTAAAATTTTAAAATTTAAACTATATTGAATTAAAATATGTACAAATCATAAACTAATTAGAATTTTATTTTTATATGGTTAAATAGAAGCTAGCCACTGAAAATTTTCTTAACTATTTAAAATTAAGAAAATTAATATAAGATATTAAAACTTTACCTCACTAAAAATCCCATTTTATTTATATAATATATGGATAGATATGGTATTCCAACATTAAAATAAAACTGTACACAAGGCCTTACCCTCTCCCCCCACAGAGCTTCACTTTCAATTTTTTTTTAGCGTCCCAAATCTTGAAGCTAATAATGCTTTAACAATCAGTTTACATGTTAAACATTAATGCCAAACAAACCCCAACCTTGCATCTTAAAGAAAGTCACAGAGAAAATGATAGAACTCAACATCACACAAATTAAAATTGACTGTATTCTTTCTTTAAAATGTACCCACATTTAAAAAACAAAAACAAAAACAAAAAAAGAAAAAGAAAATCGTTTCCTAATTTTAGAAATGAGAACTTGATTTGGAAGCATTCAAGTAGGTTGTTGTGAAGTGTGAAAAAGGCAAAATTGATTATCATCTCTGTTTCATCTTCGATCCTTTTCTTACACAGATAGTTGATTCCATATTTTTAAGGAGTTTCATTTATCAACCATGTGTGCAGAGCATGTTCGAAGGATCGGCTAGTGTTTTTGACAACCATGTCTATCCATATCTCTCTCTCTTCTCTTCTGTTTCTCTTTCTTTCTTTCTCTCTCTCTCCTACAACAAAACAAAAGCCACAGTTTGCACTAACCTAAGAATCATGGAACCAATGCCTCTCAGACTTGTTGTATCTCTTCTATCCTCCTAATCGCTTCCTTCATTTCAATCCGTTGATCGAGATTGCTTTCTGTACAAGCAGCTGCAACCTGGATGAGTTTTTCCATCTCAGCAAGAGAAGTCGCAGTGGCGCTCGCAATCTCCGGATCAATCAACTCGGTCTCTCTTCTCTCAGAAACCGCTGACCGGACCCACTGCACAACGTCGGTGCCACCCTTTTGGTTGTTGAGGTACTGGGAAGGGAATTTTCCGGTGAGGATTTCAAGGATTATGATTCCTAGGCAGTAAACATCACTTTTTCGGGTGACTTGTTGGTATAGAATGGCTTCTGGGGATTTATAGGCAAACATCGCTTGTACAGCTTGAGTGCTGTTGATTAGGGGATAGAAAGCGTAGTCGGAGAGAAGTGGCTCGTATGTGGAGTCTAGAAGAACATTGCTCGACTTTAGATTTCCATGGGGTAGCTCGTATGATGCGAATTCGTTATGGAGGAAACCCATTCCTCGGGAAACCCCCTTGATAATCTTAAGACGAACAGGCCAATTTAGCTCGGCATGCGAAATTCCGCGATCACCTGAAAAAAAAACAACCACTATTATGCTCAAACAATGAGAAATGAAATTGGCAAAATTAGTTTTTGCATACCATGCAAGATATACAACAAGCTGCCTTTGGAAACATACTCAGACACCAACAGCTTCTCATCTTTCCTGTAATGGTAAGCCAATGGTGTCAAGATATTTGGGTGTTTTAGCCTTCCTAACCTCCTCATCTCGGTATCAAACGCATCCTTACTTATTTTATTCATCTCTCTCATTCTCTTCACCACCACCGACACTCCATTCGCCATCACTGCCTTGTATGCCGACCCCAAACCGCCACTCCCCAGCACCTCTGCTGCTGCCTTCATCAAATCTGCTAACCCAAAAAAGCCCCTCTCCTCGTTCACCACCACCAGATCCCCCATGCCCTTCCCGTGACGTGACGAGCCTCTCCGAGTGGACCCACCGCCGCCACCTTTCTGGCTGAGGCTCGAGTCGACACTACTCCTTCGGTTCGAACTTCGAATGCGGACTTCCATTAAATAAAACTGTACACAAGGCCTTACCCCAAACCGGTCTTCTCTTTGTTTGGACCGAAAGAATATTGTCAGCAAGAGCACGAAACCAATCAGGCCTATTACAACCCACCCCGTTGTGGACTTGTTCATAGGCGGTGGTGCTTCAACTTCGTCTTGTCCATTATCTACTGCCGCCTGCTTGGTGCATTCCTTGCCCACAGGCTTCCCGCATAGCCCGGGATTTCCTTTGAACGTACCCGGGTCAAATCTCGACATGCTGGCCGGGATTTCACCCTCTAGTTTGTTGTCCGACAAATCGAGTGAAATTAAAGAAGATTGTTCCATGGGAGGAATAAGACCGGAGAATTCATTCTTTTCTATGTGGAGTTCTATAAGGTGTGGTATTTGTCCGAATGACTCGGGTATTCTCCCGGTAAATTTGTTCCCGGAAAGCCACACTTTTTTCAAAGACCCCATTTTGGAGAAAAAATCAAGAGGAATTTCGCCCGAAAAGTTGTTGAAGGACAAGTAGAGACCCTTCAAAGCACCAATACGATTGAACGGTGGCAATGGACCAGAGAAATGGTTGTTGATCAACGTGATAGTTCGAAGATTAGGCAGTTCAAGCAAGACATCAATGTCGATCTTTCCAGAGAGACCCATGGAGGTGAGATGGATACCGGTCGTGGTGTCGCCATTACACACAAGGCCAATCCAGGGTTGTTTTTTGTTGCATGGGGAGGTGTTTGGTTGCCAAGAATCAAGAGCTTCTGTGTTGGAAAGAGATTTTTTGAGCTTGAGGAGGGCTTCGGATTCGGGGACGGAGAGAGAAAGGGAGGAGAGAAAGAGGAGGGAGAGAAGGAGAGAGGAAAGGAGACGAACAGCGGCCATGGGTGGTAATCAGCCGGAGATCGAAGAGGTGACCTCCTGCAGGGAGAAGCGTGCCGCTGCCCGAAGAGATGGGAATTCTCTTGAATCTTTTTTTTGGCTTCTCGTTTTTTGTTTATTTTGGGGGGATTGGGATGGTGTGTCATGGTTGTCATGAGCTGGTGGGTGAAGGAATGGTGATGGAGCTGGCAAACTCCATTTCAGAATTCCTAAGAATAGGTTTCAATTTTGGGGTTGGAATGGGGAGAGAGAACTCCATTGAAAAACATTGGTTGACCTTGTCACCGTCAAATTCGGTATTTTTGGTATCTGCCTAACCTGTGATAGGATTATATCTATTTTCAAATCTTCATATATCTCAATTTAAATGTAATTTTAATTGTACTACATGTTAGTTTCTAAATTTTCTTGACTTTGGTTGGAGCTGGAGTACTCAAAATACTGCTAAGATGAAAACCCACAAAATTAAGGAAATGAAATCGAAGCAACCAAAAAATATATATATACATATTTAAATTAAATTACAATTTTGTTGTCTCCTTGGCTTCTTAATATGTACATTTGCTTTGCTCAAACAAGAGAAGGAAGGCTCATAGTTTGACATCACTGATTCACATGTGATGTGAATGCCTGCAAGAAATAGAAAAAACAAAATTAATGTTGCGAGTTATCTATTTATGCTTTCTAAAATGATGAGGGATTGGGAAACACTTTAGCCATTGTAAACTTGTAAGACATCTAAATACTTCCCAATTTAAAACTTTGTTTATTTTGATGGAAAGTACTTTTTATATTTAGTTGTGATTTTAAAACTAATTTGCATGTAGTAATAATGTTGGTAGCGGTAATGGTGGCGACAAGAGTAGGTGGTTTTGTTGGTCAAATTTTAATTTGAGAAATATTTTTTTAACCTTTTAGTAGTTGAAAACATTTTATATTAAAATATTTTTTTATTGATCACAAAAAATATTTTTATTATTTTTCCTTTTTTTGTTGTACTAAACGCCTAAAAAATGCAAAACAAACAGCGCAGACTAAGGCCAAGTTTGGGAACTTGTAAAAAAGCCAAAAAGTCAAAAAGTTACTCAAAAAGTTAAAAAGTTAACACTATTCACCAAAAGTCAACAATTACGGCTGCACAACTCCCAATTCTAATTTTCTCCCTACAAATCAATTTTTACAATTTTTATTACACATTTTTCTATAAAAAGTCAAAAAGTTAACCCAAACATCCATATTTTCAACCTCAATTTTTTAGTCCAACAACCCCTAATTGAAAATCTATGATTGAACTTAGAAGTGATGCTCAAAAAATTCAAGATAAATAGGTTGTGCTTAAAGTACTAAACAATGTATTGCCGTGTAGTATTTGTATTTAAAATAATAATACCACGAACATATAACCAACCACAGAACAAGTATTAAATGGTTCGCAATTCCATTATACATGTTCAATGATTAATTCTGTGTCGGTAAAATATTTGATTTGTGAAATAAAACTTTCTCATATCAAAGGCGACGTACCGAAAAGATGTTGCAGTGGCCAGGATCAGCAATGTGAGCCATCAAGTTCTCAATGGGGCCTTGTCCAGTATAAATGAACATTTTATATTAAAATATTTTTATTATTTTTCCTTTTTTTGTTGTACTGAACGCTAAAAAAAATGCAAAACAAACAGAGCAGACAAATTGAAAATCTATGATTGAATTTAGAAGTGATGCTCAAAAAATTCCAGATAAATAGGTTGGGCTTAAAGTAACATTTTATATTAAAATATTTTTATTATTTTTCCTTTTTTTGTTGTACTGAACGCTAAAAAAAATGCAAAACAAACAGAGCAGACAAATTGAAAATCTATGATTGAATTTAGAAGTGATGATCAATCTATGATTGAATTTAGAAGTGATGCTCAAAAAATTCCAGATAAATAGGTTGGGCTTAAAGTACTAAACAATGTATTGCCGTGTAGTATTTGTATTTAAAAGAATAATACTACGAACATATAACCAACCACTGAACAAGTATTAAATGGTTCGCAATTCCATTATACATGTTCAATGATTATTTCTGTGTGGGTAAAATATTTGATTTGTGAAATAAAACTTTCTTATATCAAAGGCGACCTACCGAAAAGATGTTGCAGTGGCCAGGATCAGCAATGTGAGCCATCAAGTTCTCAATGGGGCCTTGTCCAGTATAAATGGCTTGGAAACAAAAGCCCACAAAAGCTAGCATTGCAAGCCTCCCATTCTTGATCTCTTTAGTCCTCAACACCATCACTGGCTCAGGCGATCCTCTCCCCCACATAAACGGATCAAACCATAACCCCCCCGGGTACCCAACATCTGCCTTCGGTTTTTTCTTAGTTGGATAGGTAGGCTCGATGTCAACGCAACCCGGGTTGACCATATCGGCCCATCTCCGGCCTTCTACCCAGCCCATCAAGACAAGTTGCACCACAAATAGGGTTGTTGGGTCTGCAAAGTATTCTCTAGCACCGGCATCATACCATGAAAAGTTCTCAATTAATTCGAGGCTTTCAAGCCATTCTGGAATGAGAATCCCCGCGACAGCCAGCATTGCCCATCTAGCGTGCATTAGCTCTGCTTGTGCGAACCATTTGAGTAACTCCGGGTCAGACCCTGTAAAATTGATGTCTTAAGAGATCAAAGCGGAGCACCACAATGCTTAATGCAAGTAGTATGGTGGACAAGAACAATTTTAAATTGAACACTTGAACTAGCAAAACAATAAATCTAAGAAAGATTCTAGATATATTACTCAAAAGAATCGACACAATAAGCCTAACTGATTGGAATTGAGAAAATTTTGTCACTATTGTTACAAATATACAATTCATTGAGATGAGCCAAGAACAGTAGTCCACAATGGTGATCTGTTGTTCTATAGTGACAGATTGTATGTGTAGGTGTTTGGTTTGGCATAGCTTCGGGCCGTGAGAGATTTTCTTTGTTGGCTAGGTGCTATTTTTCCCCTCATAAAGCAGTGTTCGCCTTGCAGGCTTGTTTAGAATTTCATTGTATATTTTTGATTTTATAACTAAAACAAAAAAATATGTTGCTCCAGTTGATAATTTAGAACAAATGCATACCTAATCCAAGTGGGTCAAAGCCAAAATCTCCAGGAAGACTGCAACAAGCATTGAAAAAATAAATAAAAGGCCAAAAAAAATTATGTTGACTGTGAAATGAATAAGTAATTAGTAGTAAAATAGTATTATAAGACTTGTGTCCTGTTGTACTGTCAGCTCTCTGCAAATTCTGGTTTTGTGATCTTTTCTCTCTTTCTTTCTTTCTTTCTAATTTATTTATTTTTTGAAGAAATTACTTCAGCTGTAATGTCTGAAGAAATAACACAATGCTCATTGAATCGCTAATCCAATTGCATTTTGGATTTCATAAACCATTTTTCAGTGAATTTGGTTCCAAGCATAAATCAATTTCTTTGTGTTCTTCCAATGATCAGCAGAGCAAAGGGAAAAAAGAATGCAGGCTATGGAACAGAGAATATGAAGGTAGTGTTTGGTTTGATAGAATAATTTAAGCAGGAACAATGAAAACTCTTTGACCTCCCAAATGGAATGTCCATTTTTCTAAATTGAAGAATCGTGATTCCATTTGAAATTTACATGACCATTCCATTTCAATTTCCATTTCAGTGAACCAGATACTGTCTTAGTAGTTTACCTGCCGTCAAGCCACTCGGGAGGTGAACTACCAGGGAACCACAATGGCCTATCAGGAGGAAGTGGTTCACAAACACTTGACACCCCTCCTTTTGTTGCATTCACACTAGTTTTCCAAGCTAAACCTGTAGCAATCTTTCCTGGAGCTTTTCCAGGTATTTTCCTGGAAACCAAACACCAAGTCTAGGAATCAAAATCAAATCAATAAAAACATATATGTAGTTGTAACTTTCATGCTATAAGCATCAAAGGTGAGTGAGATTGGTGACCTTATTGGGAGACTTGAGAGTGCAGTAGAAGCAATAGAAAGGGCCATGATTGAATGAACAGATAGGTGTTGCTAATGCTGTACGTTTTTTGGAAGAGGAGTGTTTGGTTACTGATTTTAGGAGGGTGGTGGCTCTGCCATAGCCAGAGAGCTTTTATCTATCTACAACAAGAAAGTGGAATCCTATTGCATTGAAATGGATCAATGGTGGATGATTTTTACACGTGTCTGGATATGGGTGTTGGATTATGAACTTTGAACCAGCTTGTAGGGCTGAGAGCAAGGCTAAATCCAGCCCATTCAAAGCTGTATACAATGGGCCTCTATCAGATGGAGGTGACTCTAAAATTTTATTTGATTTTAAAACAACAACAAAAAAAAAAAAATTTATTTGATTTTAATTTTAAAACAAAAAAAAAAAAAATGCTTTGATATTACTCTTAATAATTTTTCTTAATGGGTTGTGATAAATGGACAGTAATCATTTTGTTTTAAGAATTGTTATATATTATTTATTTTTTTCTATTTTATATTATAAGTACATAATGAAATATTATTTATTTTTTAATTTTTTTTAACAATTACTTTTAAATGGAAACCAATCAATTTTTTTTTTTAATATAAACAATAATGACAAAAACTAATGACGTATATAACATTTTTCTTTTGTTTTGTTTTATATTGTTACATAGTTTTGAGTAAAATTCATTTTCAAATATTATTATTATGATAATCATGTGTAATTGTGCTCACTCGACAACATCCGTATGCATGTCCCTTACCCAGCCTTACCCATCCCATCCCTAATGCTGTGTTTGGTTGGGGGATTTGGGGAGGGATTTGGAAAGGGAAAGGGAAAAAGTGTGTGAAATTATGTGAAATGTAGGTATATTTTTTTCACATTTCACCTACCTTTTCCATTTCCCTTTGTTACATAGTTTTGAGTAAAATTCATTTTCAAATATTATTATTATGATAATCATGTGTAATTGTGCTCACTCGACAACATCCGTATGCATGTCCCTTACCCAGCCTTACCCATCCCATCCCTAAGTCTCAACTTTCACCAATTCACCTCAAATTAATTGGTGTTAAGGAAAAACTCAACTTTGTGTTTCAATAACGGTTCAATTAGAGATCCCAAGCTAAATATTAAAATAAGACATTATCTCAATATGCCTTTGAAAAATTATGACAGTTGACAATAAAGATTTTTTGATATTTTTTTTGGTAGGCGTCACACAATAAGCTCAGTCTAATGATTGAGCCATCTCTATTGTGTTTATGACTACTAATTTATTGTGACCTTAACATATGTCAACAAAACTACGAACACAGAACTAATTACAAAATAATTCTAATCATACATATTAAGCCCCTCATAAATTATAAGGGTTCGCTCAGTTTCCTCCACCTAAATTTCATGTAGTTGGTTCTATGATCAGATATGTATCCATAAACTTAACTTACTGTATCATATATATTTTAACCATTTTTGGAAGCAAAATTGACACACTATATGGGCAATATCGACATGGGCTGGCATGGTAGCTTAGCTACTACTATATGTCGATCATCCCACAGTTTTAACTCCACCTATCTCAACCCCCCCACTGGTTCAGTTCTATTTTTATTTGCTAAAAGAACCAGTTGAACAATGTTCTCTTGGGTAGGTTGCATCTATTATTTCAAATTTTAATTAAATATCTATATTATGGATTGTTTTGGAAAGTTGATTAAAAAGTTGGCTTTTTAGTTTTTTTTTTATACTTTTTTTTGAAAAAAAACGTGTACAAAAAATAGATAAATGATGTGATCCAAAATATGTTAAAAGCTAGAAAATAACTTTTAATCATCTTCCCAAAATAGCTATCAAGGAAAATGAGAGTTTTAATGAAAAGCCTTATAAGAGTTCCAAACTCTCATTCTAAAATTATTGATTTTTCAATTTAATAAATAGATTAAAAATAAATTATCAGCTGATTTATTTATTTAATTATTTTGAAAATAATAATAATTCCTTAATTTATGGATTTCAAATGTAAGGGTAATAAAAATATTCCATAATCTTTCCATCCTAATCTCTCTCACCGATTTCCAAAAGAAAATATTAAAACATGCTTTCCTTCTCTCCCCAAAAAATCAGATAATATTTTTCATGGGAGTTGTGGGTATTTATTTATATCTTATATATTATATCATAACATAACAAAAAAAATTAAAAATCAAATATTCTAACTGGTAAAATTAACAAATTTGATTTCTATCTCTTCAGTTAAAATCTTTTTTTTGCCTCTCAATATCCAATTTTAAATTTTAAAAATCTTTAAAGTCTTTCTAAACAAATCTAATTTGAAAATATCTCCAACCATCAGACTTTAAATCAATAAAACGCACATGCTTATCACATATATAACACACGAATATGGGAGTTTTAATGAAAATCCTTTTAAGAGCTCCAAACTCTTATACTAAAATTATTGATTTATCAATTTAGAAAATAGATTAAAAACAAATTATTGGATGATTTATTTATTTATTTATTTTTAAAAAATAATTATCCTTTAATTTATGGATTTCAAATGGAAAGATAAAAAAAATATTCCATAATCTCTCTATCCTAATCTCTCTCACCAATTTCTAAAAGAAAAGATTATTGTTTCATTCTCTCCCCAAAAAATTATATAATATTTTTCACTGTAATTGTGATGTCTATCTACCTCTTATTATATCTTATATATTATATTATAACATAATAAAAAAATTAAAAATCAAATATACAAACAGAAAAAATTAACAAATTTGATTTATCTTTTCAATTAAAATCTTTATTTTGTCTCTCAATATCTAATTTTAAATTTTAAAAATCTTTAAAGTCTATTTAAACAAATCTAATTTGAAAATATCTCTCACCATCAGATTTTAAATCAATAAAACCCACATGCTTATCACATATCTAACTCATATCATAACTTACATAAATAATAATAATAATAATAATAATAATAATAATAATAATAATAATAAAAACAAATAGAAACCACAAATAAATTAATTTTTTTTTTAAAAAAAATAGAAACCTACAACTCCATCTTAAATAAATTTAAAAAAAAAATAGAAACCACACATAAAAGATAAGAATTTAGATATGGATCTCAAAAAGATATAACAATATCTAAATTTGAATTATGATTTAATAATATAACTATCTATTTTTTTGATATATATATATATATATATATATCTAAATTTTAAATCACTTAATGTGACAAATTAATCAACTTTTAATTATTATTTAAAGAATAATCTGATTAGTCATCCCAACTCCTAAACTTCGCAGACATTGGTGGAGGAGCTGACAGATTAGACTGAATGTGGTCTAAATTGTTGGAGATAACATCCCACCACTCCAAAAATTTATTTTTATTTTAGCTTTTTTTTTTTTTTTTTTCTCCTTATGTGATTCTCCTTCTTTGCTTTTGGTTTTGGTCTTGGTCTTGGTCTTGGTCGGCCTCGTTTGGAGAGTGGCTATTTTAGCCAAAAAGTCAAAAAGTTACTAAGAGTTGTCACATCACCTCTCTATTTTTTTACACATCTTTTCATAAAAAGTCAAAAAATTACTATAGTAGCCTGTTCCCAAACGAAAATGTGTTTGTTTATAAGTTTGCATGGTGGAGAAGAATTATTGTTATCATTGCAATCGAAGTATCTATATCAGTTCTATGCCAAGGATTTTGATCAGATTTTGTGTTCTTTAATGAAGACCATAAAATTGAAGTAAAAAATTAGGCATCAATTTTTATTTTTATTTTTATTTTTATTTTTTATTGTCGTTTTATTTCATAGAAAATGTGAAAATTTATTGAGATTTAAGATTTTTACTATAACATTAAATTTTTGTATAACTTTTGGAACTTTTAAATATCATTGTATCTTACTTTTATTTTCTTTCTATCTCATTGTACCATTATTGCTATTTGTTAGTTTGTTAATTGGAATCTATATATTATATAAGCAAAAGGAGGTTTTTAGTGAAAAAAGCTAAGAGAATTCTAAGTGTTCAATCTTATTTTCTTGATTTTTTAATTTAAAAAAATAATAATAAATCACACACTAACACTTTCTTTTTCAAATAAAGAGTCATTTTTTATTCCTACAATCATTCCTTCCTTACCATCAAACAAAGAACGAGTTTTCCAATTAAGAAAAAATAATCAATAAATCAGATACTCAAAAATATTTCATCATAAAATATTTTAAATTCCTCACCATAAAGCATAAAATAATTTATATAATTAAAATTTTGTAACATGTGTTTTTTTTTTTTATTTATCTTACCATGGCTATTACTACTCAATGTATATAGCAAACCTCATTATTTTCATACACAGTAAACGGGGATAGGGTTACTGCTCTGCCAAAGGCACAGCAGTAACTGTTGTACCTCAATTTGAGGGTTATTATGAGTTTGTTTTTATGATCTGAACAGTTCATTTCATAGGGTTCGTTGAGTACTTCATGCTTACCAAAAATTATATTCATCGGATATTAATAACTATGTTATCGAATTGCATATTTTTTATGCTATTTCTCAAAAGAAATACTTATTGTTTATTTTTTTATGATAAATGTAATTCGACCATATAGTTATTGATGTCCAATTAATATTATTTTTGGTAAACATGAAGTACTCAACGGACCTTACAATATGAACGGTTTGTATCATAAAAATAAGCACATAATAACCCTCAAATTAAGGTACAATAGTTACTGTTGTGTCTTTGGCACAGCAGTAACCCCTCATTCCAGTAAATGTTAATAGGATTTCTTTAAGATTCAAACTCACAACTCAATTTTTTTAAAAATTTTTAATTTTTTTAATCATGAAAATACTAAAGTGTCATTATGTGTTGCATTTTAATTAGTTCATAATTAAATTCATGGAGTTTTATATTAAACCCTTAAATTATGACACCATAGTTACCATTTCAAATTATTTCCTTAATTTATGTTTACCATATCAAATTTATTTTCAAAATTGCTTCCCTAAATTGCATTAATGCTTGATTTTGATACATTCATACATAAACATATGGAAAATAATTAATTCTTTAACTTAAAATTTAAACATTATTGATTCTTTAACATGGTCTGAGCTTCTCTCT